GATGATTAAAAATACACTGTACCTATGCACTGCAGTGCAATTATTGATGATAAAAATAAAAGCTATAAAGCTTAATAGGTTATTTTTCATCCCTTATCAAATGTTATATCTAATAACTTTCAATAATTTCATGGAACAAAAGCAACTCAATTCAAAAAATTTACATTCATAGTACAAACATTCAGTTTTAACACTCAAAATCATAGCGAATTTGCTTCATTGGAACTGCTTGAGTGTTGTTTGATCAGATTTGATTAAGAGTTGTGTGGCAACATGACCAAACAAATGCTGATGCTACGGCGAATGGCCGTCTGTGACATCACCTTTTTCCAAATGATTCCCGCCCAATTCAAACTAGTGAGAAGAGCACAGATAAAAACACAAATCACGAAGTGTCTGAAATAAAATAACCAAATTAGTTTTAACACTGACAGATAATTTTGTTTCCATGAAGGATCATATTTCTCATACTGTAGTGAGAAGCAGCATGAGAACAGGTCTTTTGGAAACAGACCCAAAATAGAACCAGTTATCAAAGCTAGCACTACCATTGTGGTGCCTTCGTCAAATGAAAATTGTGTGTGTAGTAATCCTCATTCAAAAAAAAGAAAAAAACAAAACAAAAATACTTTTGTACTATTACTTAAGTGCATAAAAACTGACTGTCTCAGACTGTGAAAAAAACTGTTGACTTTTGAAACACTTGTGTTACAAAAGGCCATTTAAAGGTGCTATATATATGTTTTTGCTATCGTAACATAGCCAACATTAGCATTAACAGCTGTTCACTTACCAGTCTAGAAGAAATTAATCTTGTTTTGCATCTATTTCTATCACTTCTTTTCTTTTACTGAAGTTAGCATGCTAACCAGCAAGACTAGGCGCGTCCAGTCTCGTAATACTGATTTGCGATAGTGAGTCACTGTAGCGTCCAGTCTGTCCTCAGTTCAGCATGAGAGGATGAAGAAGTAGTGCTGCCCAGAGGGCACATTCTAACCTTTTGTCTTGTAAACCCAACAATAGATGAAGCTATTGGCAAGCCACCCTCATCACCACCACCACCACCCACTCCAGGCAAGAGATCGTGTTCGGCGGCAGAAAAAAATTGTACACATAGCACCTTTAAAGTGTGAGAACATGAGAGATATGCAGGGAATGGTCTGGTTCAGCAAATACTGTTCAATATTGAGTTCCTGAAACACAGCAGGAAAAACAATATTTGCAAGAAACACATTAGAGTGGCCGTCACCACATGAGCAGAGCCCACTGTAGTGGAAGCTGGTGTAAGCATAATTTCAACAATCTATGGTTAAGCTATGATAGAATATCTTATTCCCAAGTCAGTGTAGCTCCCAGGGGAAACTACAGCAGAAGCTTTTGACTTGATTACACAGAGAGACACTTATACAAAATTACTTTTTGTTTATTTCAGCTGCATACAGGCAAGGACTTGTTTGACTCTTATTACACTGCATTGCATACTTAAGCCTGAGGTCAGTTTTCATGTTTCCTGCAGTTACTGTACACAGTCTGATGCGAGCAGGCATCTGGGCAGCAGGAGAAAGTATTTGTTGCTGTGCGATGCAGCCACAACTGCTGCAGAACTTGACTAATAATATCTACATGATTTTAATATCATGAACTGCCTGGCGAGGTGCAGTACTGATGAACCTGACCCCAGTGTGTGTTAGTTAGTTTGTGTGTGTTTGTGAGCAGCATGTGCTATTTCCAGCTGGCATATGAACTCAGCAGATGAACCAAGATCAGCTGTTTGTCCTCTAGGGGAGGCATTGTGACTCATGTGATTGGCTAGCAGCTGTGTGTCACACTGTGTATACGTATGTGTGAATGTATGCCTGTTTTTGCATGTGTGCATTCCCATGCATGTGCTTCTGCAAATATTTGAGTGAATATTCACATATATTCGAAACAACAAATCCCATCATACCTAAAAGAGACTGGCCTCCAAATGCACTGCATTCATCTATGTGTGCGTTGCAGTAGGACATAGCTATAGTAGGAGGCTTTCCCAGAGCAAATGGTGGAAGTCATCCTGGATCTCTTTAATTCTTTATTCATCAGCTCTGTGTATAATTTATATATTTTATACACTACTGTATGTGGAGAGAGTAAAAAACAAAAGGCAAAAGGGTGCAACAATTAATGAGCGGACACCAGGAGTGAAGTGACGACCAGAATAACAAGTGTGAGGAAGTAATTTCACTTCTTCCACCTGCACAGATTCTTAAATGTGCACTGAAGATAATATATTGTCATCATTTTGCAGATCTAGTAAGATATTGCATTTGCATTATGATGACATAAGCCATAACGTGCCATATTGTATGATATGGCTACTATTAACTATTACTGTTTCCATGCTTCGGAAGGAGAAGCAGGGGTGTAAATGGGCAGAGGAAAAGAGGAGGTACTGCTTTGGAATGGGAGGCTCACCTCCCCTGGGTATGGACACGAAGACTTCCATTTTGAGAAATAGCCATCTGTTTTTTTTTTTCATGTCTCTCTCATAGTGAGGGTCAGGGGTTTCATATTCAGAAATCCTAGTTATTAGCTGCAGGGCTTTCTTTCTGCTCTGCCTCCATGTTCACTGCTCCTATAGCTGCTGGCTAGCTAAAGAAATCACATTCAGTCCACTTGTGCATATCTCTGCCAACACTGGTGATGATTTATTAGACTACACTTGACTGCTTTCCCACTGTAGTAAACATTTTATATGCACAGGAAAGAAAAACATCGTATTTAAACAGAATTCTGGAGCGTAGCAGTGCACTTACTCTTATTCAAGAATCAATCAACAATCAAAACCTCTTCACTCTTTCTCCACCTCTCTTTATTTTTTTGCGCAATCTTGCTCATGTTTCCTTTCCGGTCTTCTCTCTTTTCCCCTGCAGCTGTCCCTTGGACTCAGGCTTTTTTCTATTTAAGTCCTTGTCATCTTCCTACCGCTGATTTGCACTCGCAGATTCATGCAAATATGATACACATTTAAAACTACATTTGTGTGGCTCTCACTGAGAAGCTGTTTATCCTTTTTATGGCTCTTGTTGGTGGATACACAAATAACCCCAGTCTCTTTATCTGAGGCTCAGCTACTTTTTACCTCTTTACCTAAAGTTTAATACTGGTGCTTTAATTTAGAATAACCAGTGTCTGGTTAAACCAACCTGGTTACTAAAAGTTACTGTTGTGTAGGCTTGTTTCATCTCTTAACAATGCATTATATTTTAAAAGACTATATGTTTTGTACTGAAAATATAACAAAGTACAAATACCTAAAATTTTTAATTAAGTTCAGTACTTCAGTAAATGAACTTAGACCTTATGTACTTAGACCATCACTGGATCAATAATGCATTGTTATAGATGAAACAAGCTTATACAACAGTACATAAAATACTTTATACCATGGCCTCTGAAAATCCTGGATTCTGATTGGGTGGAAGGTGTGGTTTAACTATTAATGGAGAAGTTTTATTTTTAAGTAGCATCACCTGATTATAATACAAAATTGCATTCTGTATGCGCATATTAAAACATAACATGCGCCTGTCTGATTCCACAGGCATAGTTTTCACATACTTCATGTACAAACTTAATATCACATCAGCCTTGCATGTGATAACATTGTATTATCATTTGTGAAACACAGAGTAACTTGTGCGATGCGAGGGTTTGTCCATTGGGAGTGTATTCCATTAAACAATTTTCACTAGTGTTGCTACAGTGCAGAGCTTCTTACTGATGTGTAAGATTTAAAATCTCTCTGCTGTGCGGTATGTAACAGATTGTTTGTCCGTGTCACTCAGAGCAACAGTAGGCTTATATTTTGTCTGTTATGTCCCATGGCATACCAAGAGCAAGATGCCTCTTGCTCATCCTTTGTAGCGAATATGTGTGTGTGTGTGTGTGTGTGTGTGTGTGTGTGGGTGTGTGGGTGTGTGTGTGTGTGTGTGTGTGTGTGTGTGTGTGTGTGTGTGTGGTGACTGTGTTAAGGTGCTACCACACTGTCTGCTCTCTGTCAGCATTGCTTCCCTTGGGCATCAGTGTTTTCCTCACAGCTCCACTCTGCTTTAACAACATGCCTCCACAAAGGCGTCAGGACCCTGAATAACTGCAGCAGTTGTAATTGTATTTGTATGTGTGATTGTGTTTGAAGTGTGTGTTCGCGGAGGGACAGAGTGCAGCCTTTGTGTTGCTCTGTGGCTCTATGTGTGTGTATGTGTGCATGGATTTGCCTCCTCTCATGCGTTTTTTGCTCTGTGTGTGCTCATTTTTGAGCAGGCTTGTTCATTAGGTCTGTGGGGAGGAGTGCTTTCTGCTGACTTTGTTTGGTTCAAAGCCTGAGGCTCTTACTGATCAATAGTATCCCGGACCCACCACGTCTATGAGCAGCTGACTGGCTCTCTGCATGGCTGGCAGCCACGGCTTAACAGCATAAAGTCATATGTTAATGTTACTCACATCTTTCTAGGTATATTTTGGACGCACCCTTAATCAATCAGAATGCGCGTGAAATTCAGTCTTTTCACTCTGCAAACTCTGAAAACAATAAAAATACATTGCTTTGTTCTCCCCTGCAGTAACATCAAAGAAAATCTTATTACGACATGGTGTATAATAATCATCATGAGATATTGGAAAGCTGTGTCAACAGATGTTTTCTCTAGGTGGCAGTTTGTAAGTTTCCAAGGAAGCATCGGAGCGATCTCTGGATTTAGACTGCTCTTTTGTTTCCCTCTTTGTCTCCACTCATGCCTGACTTCGGTGTTACATCTAAGTGGACCAGGATTCAGCATACAATACTGCAAAAAGGATCAACAGATTTTTTTAGTTTATTTCTGGGTGGGAGGTTGATATAACAATAAAAATATTTTGTTGATTTTGGCTAAGGCTAACCAGGATGCCTCTTACAGTATACACAGTGACAGTATGGTAGAAACATCAGCAGGCTAATCTGTGCCTGTCTTTGCTGTCCTCAGGTCTGGATGATTGTCTCCAGCAGTACGTGAAGAGTTTTGAGCGGGAGCAGATGGGGGGAGAGCAGCTGCTGCACATCACCCATCAGGAGCTGGAAGAACTGGGCGTCACCAGAATAGGACATCAGGAGCTCATCCTGGAAGCTGTCGACCTCCTCTGCGCCCTGGTTAGTCAGTTTATGTTACTGAATGACATAATGTTTCTCAATTGACAATACTTTGGAAGGAGTATTGTGTACAGATCCATGATGTGTGTGTTAATGTGTCTTTGAGTTTGACTGCAATTAACTAAACCTTTGGAGCCCCACAACTAACAAAATGTAGTAGTAAAGGGTTGTCACACAAGTCAAAAATATAAATGAACTCATAAATAATGCTTAGTAAAGTGACATTAGCTTGCCAGCTAAAATGTTTTAGCTGTTGTTACAAGAGTTTATACAGTGATGATACAGGAGAAGAAAGTTAGCTTGAGCTAGGTAGGCTAGCTCAGTGTGTTTAGCCACCACTGTTTATATTTAAGTTAGCCACTCAATTACACCACTGATATTAGATTCTACTAAAAAAAAATGGAAGATAAGTTAAAATAAGTTTTAATTTATATCATCAGCTGAGCGCATGTAAAGACAAAGATTTTATTAGACTGGAAAAGTATACAAGCTTTAGCTTTATATTTCTTTTTTGCACTCCATTTTAATTATTTAATTAAAGTACTGTTTTAGTCAGTTATATTTTTGGTCCATCTGATAATCTTTTACTGCCTTATATAGGTTTTGGGGCTCTATACAAAACTCTCCTCCCACACATTGATTTGTGTTTTCAATTGTCATAGAATAGTACAGTATTTTGGCACAATTACCAAGAAGTATCACTCTCCAGTACATACAGTGTCCAAAATGACCAGGTAATTGTTGTGATGAATGGATTTGATTTTTGTGAACTTTGACACAGGAATTTGCGGCGTTAACCAATAGTTAGCTATGTTGACGGTGCGGATGTTTGAGGGAAGTGAGAGCCAAGATGGAGGAGGCTAACTTAGCTGCACCATCCACTTTTATTTAACCTGCTCCACAGAGGAGGATGGCTTGTGCTGATAGTTACCAGAAAGGAATCGATGGTACAAATACATGTTTTGAGTAAACTCTGTGAATTCAATGTCCTGTTAGCAACCACTTGTTAGCATAAACAGAAAACAGTACAGAGAAAATACGAAGAAGCTTGTTGCACGTTGCGAGCATGTTTCCTGCTGGCCTATGTGTTAGCGATTTGCTTGCTAGCTACTTAAGCAAATTTATATTATTTCTAGCGATTTAAATCCAAATTTTGACAATTTTAGACATTCTTATTTTGTTCTTGTAAGATTTTCTACAGCTACTTGTGTGACACTATTCAGTATCTGAGAATATTAGCTTCTTTTTTAAATTGAAACAAGGTTTTTGTGGAAAAACAATTAAAAAACATTGTTTGGTGTTGGTGCCGAAACTGCCACAGTGTATAGTGTCCAAAAATTTCAAATTATAGCCAGCCTTAGTATTTTAGTATTTTAGACATTGTTTTATGCTTTAGCATGTATAAAGAGGATTTATGTTACAACATTTTAATTTTTACTCTGTTTGCCAGAATTACCTTAACATCAAATCTGAGTAAAACTTTCTAGGAATAATTTTATTTCCTGCAACCGCTAAAGAAATTCTGTCAGGTAGAAAGATGTATATATTGGTTGTTGTTTATTTTCCTCAGCCAGATATTGATATTGGCTTAAGAAATGGCTAGAAAAATTGTCTATCATTTGGGCCCTGCTTTATGTGTACTGTCTCTGTCACTGCTGACTGTATGTGCAGTGGCCCTGCTCAGGATTAGGGAATTAGGGAGAATTAGGTGCTACTCTCCCAGAGAGAGAAAGAGGGAGAGAGGAAGGGGGAGTCAAAGGAAGAGAGAAGAAGAGAGAGAGAGAGAGAGAGAGAGAGAGAGAGAGAGAGTGAGTATGTGGAAAGAGTATGTAGGATGCACCTTATCTCTCAGGCACACATGGCTGGATTAGTTGGGGTTTGAATGTGTGTGAGAGTGTGTGTGTTAGTGTGAGCGAGTGTGTATGCATACATGCTTGTGTGTGTGCTAATCAGCACCTCTTCTCATTCAGATGTTCCGGCATGGGAATGAGTGTCCCAGAGCAGCAATCACCATATGTCCTGGAACTGGACACACACACACACACACACACACACACACACACACACACACACACACACACACACATACACATACATTCAGGGATGCCAGGTAGACAAGATGAATCACTAAATCGTTTATTACAGCTTGGGTCGTTCTTTTTGTACTTTCAGATATAATTCCTACCAGATATGATCTAACACTGTGTGTTAATCAAGGAACACATCGACATCTGACAATTAAACTGGTTTCAAACAAAGCCCCGGGTTACACATTTATTTGTAAGAAAATCGAAGGAGAACAGTAAAATTATTACCCATACTGATCACACTGTACACTGTAATACTCAATCACAGTGTACAGACAGACTTCACTATTTAACTTTGACCTATCAAACTTGCTGTAGTTGTGCATTCCTACAGTTTTCCTGTGCCAACAATTTGGGTATGCTCACTTGTGGTTTACATAATCTGACGAAACTCTTGGCTAGTTTGCAATTTTTCTGATTGTGCCTCTATTTCTTGCCCCATTGGACTTTCTTGTTGTGATATTGCCATGTTTCCAGATCCCATCAATTACAAAAGTTACTGATAGAAATAATGACCAAAACTACAAAAGTAAGAGTTGTAATAAAACAATTATCTTTTAAGAAATAGCCTACCTGAACTCCCCAGTTAACAAAGGCACACAGTTCTGTACCTGTAGACTGTCAATATTGGGATAATAAAGGACGATTCACTGTCGTCAGCAATATAATCCATCATAAGGAAAGCAAAACCCCATTCCCTTGGCTCAACCATTATGACTTTCTGGTCTTCCTGCAGTAAGAAAGGGGAGCTTCTGTGGCCCTGGATCAATGCAAGTTTCAAGTGCTGACTGAGCTTTCAGTCTCGCTGTAAATGTGGAAAAAGTCCCCTCTTTTATGCCTATGCAATCGAGTTTTTGCCCCTAGCATCTATGCTAAGCAGGTTCCTATGTGTGCAGTGAATTTTCAGCAAGATGTGCCAAGAAATGGGCATAAGTTAAGAATAAAACCCCTGCTCATCCTAATGTCTGAGTTGAAAGACACTCATAAATGACATAGACATAGATGTGGTTGCATTGAAGTTAAATAAGAAGTGTCAAAACTAAGCAACTTAAAACATGAACTACTCAGAGAACAAAATACAAAAGAAGGTGGTAAATGAGCCCTGTCTCTCTGAAGCATCAATTCATCAAGGCATCAAAGTCAGCGAGAGTAGCAAATAGTAGTAGTAGTAGTAAATGTATCGCCTTTTTCTATTGCCACACACTGTAGAAACAGTTTAGCTTTATAGAGATTTTTCTATAATCAGATAATCAGAAAATCAGCAGAAAATCTAGTCAATTAATGTGTAAATGTGACGTTCATGCAGCAGTTTAGGCAAGTAATTATTTGTTTTGGAGATTTCTTTGTATCCCAAAGATTGTATCTCACTGGCACCTATTCATCTCACTTTATGAAATCTATCACACAAATTCCCATATTCTTCCATCAGCTGATAAGGTTGACTTTTAGCTTTTACGTTCAGTTGGATACAACTCCATGCAATTTCTAAACCTCTCCTTTCTTCTCCAGCGCCAGAGGAATCGTATCATTATCTAATGACACTGGATAAAACACAGAGACACTCTCAGTCTATTGGGCTAACACACAGACAAACACAGTCATAGCTATCAGAAATGTAGAGTTTTTAATCAATCTGATCTTTAAATGTCTGGACATACTAGAGCACCTGGAAGAAAACCCATGCATACAGACAGGATATTCTGAATATATACCAAAACATCTTGCAAACAACTTAAGTCTTAACATCTCCTCAGAACACTTAAAATATCTTGGCATAATCTCTAATAATAATTAGTTTCTAACTTCTAAGTCCCCGTTCTTCTTTTGTTCTGACAAAGTGATTTGTGCCTTCCTCTCCTCCTCTAACTCTTTCATGCAGATGAGTCAGCTGTCTATGTTGGTTCCTTTTCAATGTTACCCTGCATGACTCCAAATTGATTTTAAAATCCTGTTGGTTACTTCAAAGCTATTAAATATTTGCCATAATTCATATTTCTTGTGCTTTCCATCCTCGTTTCAACATCCGAGCTGATTAGACAGGACCCCTCAGATGTTCCATATAGGAGAGCTTAAATGAAAGTTGAATGTTATCTTTGGGTTTACCCCAAGATAGCGTCCTGCATTACCATCTGCACTCCACTCACTCCACGTAGTATTTTCCTTTGCCTCTACACTCTGGTTTGACCTGCAGTTGTGTGTGCATGTATATTTGTCTCCATTTTGTCCATGTGATTTTATTGTTTCTTTTCTCTTCCCCGTTTTCTTTTATGACAGCATTGTTTTTACCTACTTGTGCAAAGCATAAATGAAAACAATTTGTTTTGAACATTCACATAAAAATTTCAGTTTGAATCCAGCGTTCAATACTTGAAAATTGGAGCTGTTTTTGTGTAAAAAAGAAAAACCTGTAGTTGAGTTGAGTTCAGCCCATTGAACCCAGATCTTCCACGCTGAGAGTGACACATACAATCAATTCTCTCTTGATGAGTAGAGGTTATATACTCTCTTACGTGGTTTGAGACTAGTGAGACTAGTAAGTCTCATCAATATTTTACTTTTGAAAGAAAAAGATTAAAATGCAAAGTTGTGTTTTTTGCCCATTTTGATTCTGTGGACAATGGCAGAAATTTCAGCGTAGAGGAGAGGCCACTCCACACATAGCTGCTATGGCAACCACATCGACATGAAGGTGGAGGAAGGGTGGGGGGGGTTGCTCTAATAGCATCGCCCTCTTACTGTATTGATTTGACACACACAAGCGCACATATGCACGCACTGCTCAAATTATTTCTCTCTCTTTCTCCACAGTCACACACACACAGACACACACACACACACACACACACAGTCATTCAGACAGTCGACACAGGGCATTTTTTCCCTCCGCTTTATCTCAGCACTCTGTCCCCTGGAGAGAGCTGCACACAGCTCTAGATCGAATCATAGGACAGCCTAATTACAGCTGTGCAAACATGTTCTCTCCAAGTTCATGTATACATCTATGTATGTTCACACAGAATACAGAAGATTATACAGAACACAGTGTATGCATGACCCAGTTTCAGTGAGATGCATAGCTGGGTGCTTTCTCTTTCTCTCTCTCCCTCTTGTCTCTTGTCTTCTGCCTCTTTAGTTCCTCAATTCCCTCATTTCGCTCCCTTCCTTCTCTCTGTCTCTCTCACTCTCTCTCTGTCTGTCTCTGTCTCTCTCTCTCTGCTGCCACCACTGTGAAACCCTCTCTCCTTTGTAGTCACTGTGGTCGTGACTGTGTAGAATAGATCTAGAGGCAGGGGAGGAATAGATACGTCTAGTTCAGCCTGTGCATCTGACTATACAAGGATATGTGTGTGTGTGCCTTTTTGGTTGTGTGCATGTGTGTGTGTATAGCCTTTGTGTCAGCAGGAATCAGGCTCCGTCAGGCAGGACATGACTAGAGGTGCCTTGGGACACTGAGCGCAATGTGGCTTAGTGGGTCTCTGTGTGTGTGTGTGAGTGTGTGTTTATTTAAAAGGGTCACAGTGCCATAATGGGCTATTCAACCAGCTTAGTGTTCTTGTATTAGTGCAGAAAGTGGCTGTTTTATGAAAATGCTAATGGTTATTCAGAGATAGTAATTCTAATTTCAGTTCATTGTACTCAGAATTACCATTTATGTTTCAGTTACTGTTTATCCTTGTTCACTCAACACATAAAAATTGCAAAAAGACCATTTAATCAGTATTTAGTATGATAAAAAATGTGTACTGTATCTGTTACAATGAATATACACCAAAATATAAGGTTTATAAATACTGTACAGCATATATAAAAAGTAATGTAAAACTACATTACTTTTTATATATGCTGTACATACAATATACTGTATAAAGGATTTTTTTTTAAACCTACAGATAGAAATAGATCAATAAAACTGTAAATATTCAGGTAGTTTGGACAAATTACTTTTTCATGTCTGTGCATTTGAAGTATGGAGCAAGGGAGGAGGATTAGCCTAGCTCAGCACAAAGAGTGCACGCTGAGGGAGGAAGCTAGCTCTTCTATTTCCAAAGTTAATAACTAAAGCTACCAGCACCTCTAAAAGCTCACTAATTAATACAACGTATTGTGTTTGATTCATCTATATCAAGGAGTTATGTGGATTGGTAAGCAGAATTTTGAACTTTGAAGCCAGCCGAGTAACTTCAAACCATTGGAGTATGACATACTGTGCTTCTGCTTTTAAAATGAATCCTTCTGTTTGTCCTGCAGAACTACGGCCTAGAGACAGAGAACCTCCGCACTTTGTCCCACAAGCTAAACGCTTCAGCAAAGAACCTCCAGAACTTCATCCTGGGCCGGCGGAGGGGCGGACACTACGATGGACGAGCTTCCCGGAGGCTACCCAATGATTTCCTTACCTCAGTGGTGGACCTGATTGGTGCAGCCAAGAACCTTCTTGCCTGGCTTGACAGGTAGGGATTACACCTTGGGTGTTAAAATAAATTTGGTCTTCATCCAATAAGGATGAAAGCTAAAATCAAAATATATAAATTCTATGCTACAGTACAACTATATTACTATGACTATAATATGAATACAGTCAAGTTATTTTTTAAACTTTTCCTGGTGGAGGCTGTCTCTCATCAAAACATGGTCAGCTATGCTCATAATACAAAACAGAAAGAAAGAGGCACAGAGACTGGACAAACCGAGCCTGGCTAGCTGTTTAAGCTAACTGTCTCCTGTTATGGACAGATATGAGTGGTATTGATATTCCAACTTAACCTAACTGAACTGAACTCAGCCACACAGGCATGCCACACCAGGCAGTGGACAAAATAACAGGAACACCTTACAATCTCCCTCTGACACAAAGTTTCAACAGTAATACAACATGGTATACGTCACAGAGATAGTTTGTACTGTTCTGCATTATATTGTCAGTTGGTCCTGTTACTGTGGCCCCCTTTAATTTAGCAACAAGTCATAGATGGATAAAGAATACAAGCATGAGCATAAAATTGTTTTTCTTTTTTTTTTTATATCAGCTGATGGACTCATATGAACCAGAGAACACATACAATAAAGCAATGTTGAGCTTTAGTAGATCCCTGAGTTGCGTTGCCTCCTGGTCACAATATAAAACCAAATATTGTTGTTTGTCTTTATCAGTTGCTCCTGTGCTCTGAGAGGAGCAGAGAATAGCTTTTATTTCTCTCTCTCACTGCCCTCTCACGGCTTTTAAAATAACACCTTTAGGAAATAAATGAACTGAACAGAATGAAATGAAAACACCAATATAAAATAAAAGCAGTTCCCCAAAACGGAGTAAAGAAATTCTTGACCAAATATGCTTTGCTCACATTCATTTATATGCTTAAAGTGTGATTTTGATTCCTACTTTGCCTTGAATGCAATGGAAAAACACTATGCTCAATTTCCCATTCTGTGGATCATTTGAAAAAAACAATAACCAAATTTAAACTAAGGTCATAAGGAGTCAGGTGCATTTGTCAAAATATAAACTCTTGTTTTTTGTCTCTTTCAGGTCTCCATTTGCCAGTGTGACAGAGTATTCATTACTGAAGAACAACATCGTGCAGCTCTGCCTAGAATTAACTACCATCGTACAACAGGTGCTTACACACGCACATACAGCAAATACACAGGATGCATGCGTCACACAGTCCATTATGCCCATACTCATTACACCCATATAGAAAAGGTCAGGGTTTGATTTGAAAGGGCAGAGCTAAAGTGGGTTTGGACTGGGAACATCGATACGGATGAAGCTTGCTCTGGTCTATAGCTCATTCCTATAGATTTGACTGTGAGTGAAACATATGTCCAATGCCACAGGCTGTTTGCAGCATGGCTGATGGGACAAGTAGCTCTCAGTAACAGCCTTAGGCAATGTACTCATTGACGCATTGTTAGACCTCATCCCCTGCTTAACTTATGGACCCTGATGGAGAATAAACTAGGGGCCTCTCATCCCTTCATTTCCCGTTCTCCTACTCTCCCTCTAGCTAAAACTGGAGGTGCATGCATACACACTCTGATACTGTAGAAATCTCATTGTTTGGACAGAAACTATGTCTGCTGTCCTGGACCTCATCCACGTCCTCCCTGTAAGAGCCTGCTTAGAGAGTGTGTGAAAGTGTGTTTGTCTGTGTGCCCAGAGTGAGTCCTGGAGCTGAGCAGATAACACCCATCCCCTCTTACAAGGGCCAGAGGAGAGCGAAGAGAAAGGGGCCACCGTAGGTGCACAATGGGCCAAATGAACATGTGGCTGCCAGGGTGCAGCGAGACAGACAAAGGTGGCAGCGCTGCCTGCACTAATGCATCAAACAGATGAATTAACTGCTACGATGCACATCTGGTGGATTCAGTGGGCTGCTTTCCCAGAAATAGATTAACTATCAGCTATCGTTAAATAACAATCTGTCATGTTCAAATAATGTCATTTCTAAATCCTGAGGAGACTCATGAATCTCCACGCAGCAGAGTAAGTCCCAAACTGGTAAATCTTATGTATCTATCCTGCTTAGATTATAAAGTAACATACATAATGTGGAAGGTTGGAAATAAAATAGCTGACTGCTGATGTTCTCTGGTGGAGAAGAACTCATCCATCTCTCATTTCTCTTATTTCCTTCTTTCTCCATTGTTATATTTGGAGGAGGGAGATATTTGAGCCTCTGTGCGGATGTTCACATTGACGCTTTTTCTGTCTCATGTTTTTTCTCTCTCTCTCGTTCTGTCTTCCACTCGTTTTGCAGGATTGCACTGTGTATGAGACAGAGAATAAGATTCTCCATGTGGTAAGTTTCTTCTTTTAAATGTCTTTTTTTTTTTTTTGAAATATCAATACTGATTGAAAGTTGTTGGCCTGTTGTTTATCACAGAAAACAAGGAGGTGGTTCACTCAACAATGGCAGCTTTTAAATGGATAGATAAAACAACCACAACAAGATTACTGCCCTAGTGTATGCAGTATTACATTTCCAAGATATCACCTCCGCTACACTGAATCAAAGCAAAGGCCTTGTTGCTTTAAAGGAAGCGTTTGAGATTTTGGGAAATAAACTTATTCTGTGTGATCTTTTATCATTAGCGAGCTGTAGAAGTGCTGGTTGGCTGAATTTGTTTCCTCTGGACAGAGTCAGATAGTTGCTCCCACCTGTTTCCTTTCTTTAACTGGCCTCTGGCTCCAGCTTCACATTCACTGTACAGACATGAGAGTGGTTTCGATCTTCTCATTAAACTCTTGGCAAGAAAGCAAACCAAAATGTGAAACCATTCCTTTAATGAAATCTTATAATACACATATTCTTCTCTCCAATTTTGCTCAGATAACGCAGTTGTAGTGCGTCTGGTTGTGAAACAAAATTGCACACATTCATAAACACACTGAAGATACACAGCTGAAGAGTATGTCTTATGTATGTGTGTATGAGACTGCCTATATATGTTGTGTATTTTCTGAGTGTGTGTTTGTGAGTGTGTGTGCATATCAGAGTACTGTTTGTTTTTTGTAGGAATTTGTGGCACAAAATTCTGCATGTTAAAGTCCAAGCGAGCCTGAGGCCTTTTGAAAGCCCTAGTTTAGCTTCTGCGTGTGTGCGTGCGTGTGAGTGTGTGTGCGTGCGTGCGTGTGAGTGTGTGTGTGCGTGCATGTATGACGGAGAACTGTCTGTGTCCACGTGTGAAACCCAGTGAGCAGCTAGTGTCTGATCCGGGCTGACAGTTGGACTGGGACACTTCCTGCTGCCATTCAAGGTCAGGTGGAGAAAACCATATAAAATGTTGGCTGGGGGAGTTCACAGAAAAATATTTGAGCATTTCATGCCAAGGAAAATACTCAGATGTTCATGGTAAAAATAAAAGTCTATTACATATTTCTATCAACTAAACCAATCATAAGACTGTATTTGAGATGTTACGATGTTCCCCCTGTCAGAATTACTCCCCCCTTAGCGTTTTGGTTGTGGGACTGCGACTGTCGTTTACCTCTGTTGTTAGAAGCAAAAAACAGGACAGTGACATTGGCCAAATTCAAATATTTAGATGGCTCTTCACATGTACACACACACTCACACTCACACACACACACACACACACACACACACACACACATATCCGCGCACACAAAACCCTCTGTACCACACTAAAAGCTCCACATGACTAAATCTGTTATGTGTGGGAGGTTTAAGTATGAAGTAAGGAGACAGCGTGAAGGAGAGAGAGAGAGAGAGAACGAGGTGTTTGTTTTTAGATGCTGCGTCCTTGCTGATCGTTGTTTACCATGTGTTTTAGAAATTAAGAAAGTGGAGGTGAAGTGACACAACCACTAAACCACACACAGCACAAACACACACATGGGACATACAAAAAAAATGTGGAACACAGAACAGTGTTTTATAGAATTAATTTAAGAACTGTAGACTTTTCTTTTACAGCCGACTTGTCCCATGTGTCCTCTCAATGATTTAAACTCTAGCTCCTTTTTGTTTTCCATATTGTTCACTGTAATAACCAAAACTTAAATTTAAACCAAGCAGTTTCTTTTCTCTGATATTTTCGGCACACAATCTATTTCAGATTTTGTATATAACAACATTCTGTGAAATTAGAGATATTATGACTCATGTGTGTCTTTCTTCTTTTAGCTTTATATATGTATAAGCAGAACATGCCTTGCTGTGTTTTATGTATTTTATGATATGACCCAAAAATGTTAAGCAGTTGCTGCTGTTGATGTTAATGCATTTGTAATAAAAACTCAGTAATCCCAAAGTATAATACATAACAGTAAGCTCTGTTAAAGGGGGTGTTCTGCATGACGAGCATCTTGCCTTTGATACAAATTTTGGATTAATATTCCTGCAGTTTTACAGAATTAAAGACGTTTAAAAATGTTCAACACAGGACACAGGAATCTTGTCATATGTTATTAGTAGTTTTACTTAAGAACAGAGTTTGACATTTTGTGAAATACGCTTATTCTCTATTTTGCCACGAGTTGAGAAGATCAACACCATTCTCATTTCAGTCTGTTAAATATGAAACTAGTGCCGGGAGATGGTTATCTTAGCTTAGCATAAGACCGGAACCACACTGGCTGCGTGGCGGCTACAGAACGTCTTGGTTTTCATTTCAATGCCCATGTTAACGGGCTGGAGCAGACTGCGTCTCACGCCTCTAGAGATTCTTAGAACATTACACAAACTGACACCTTGCACTACATGTCTAAGCTGAATTTGAATATGTCACCGACATGAAAAAATATAACCTTTTTTTTTAAATCATTTTAGCTGCTAGTGGAGACTGAGGCATTTTGGTGACATTTTCTGTCAAAAAGAAATCAGAAATCAATTCATAATGAAAAGAAATCCAACATTTGAGTAACCTGCAAACTCTATGTAGAGAGATAGAGCTGGCAGTAGCAGCGTCACAGCAGAGACGCAGCCGGTGTGAACACAGGCACCCTGTGAGCCACAGCAGTTCAGCAACGCAGCCACCACGCACGCGCAATGCAGACGGTGTGTTTCCAGCGTAAAGACTGTAAACAAGGGTAAACAGACAACTCTATCCAGCGCCTATACCTGCACATCTAAAACTCACTAACATGTTATATTTTGCTTGATTTATCTTAACTTAAACCAAAGGGTACAAACAACCATGTAGAGTTGCATCACATAACCACATCTTGTCAACTTGCTGTTAGGCAGATGTTTTATGCTAGGTAAGCTACTTGTCCCCTGGCTTTATATTTACAGTACAGCATCATTCACCTAAGTTCTTGGCAAGGAAGTGAATAATGTCGTATGTAATATTTCCCAAAATGCCAAACTATTCCTTTAAGTAATGTATGAATGGATTTTGATCTAGGTCGACATGTATGTTAGAGTCTCCCAGCTAGTGTGCCCCCCTGTGTGCATCCAGCATGGGGTTCAGAGACTGCTTAATGCTCCGGTCAATGCTGCTGTAGCTACTGTAGTGGTAGTTGTACGTTTGTCAGCTTCTGCTCAATAATG